TGGTTTTACTTTTTGGGATCTTTTTTTCCCCAATGTGGAGATTTCCCTTCACCTCCTATCCTGTAGACAGAACACGAAGTGAGAGGAAATTGCTCCGAAGTGAAGTGCCACGCTTTGATAGCTTTGGTGACAACTCAGAATTTGAGATCTCATAATTTTCAGTTTCAGCAACAGTGGTCAGCAGGACAAGTAGAGAGGGGAGACTCTCCCCAGTGGGGGCACAGAGAGCAATACAAGCCTGACAGGGGCTTAGACCCTTCACCACTCCATCCAAACGTCGAAAAAAAAAGAGATTGGTGGTTAGGCGATACCTTCTATTGGCTAAAGTAAGTTATTAAAGAGGCAAGCCTGTAGACCAGGGTTTCTCAGCCAGGTTTCCATGGATCCTTAAAGTTCCTCCAGAGGTTGCTAAGGGATACGTGAGCAATGAGCATATTCTGCCTCTTAGATATGTTACCACTGACACCACCATTCTTTGTACCTATCTATAAGGGGGTAATTCTTCCCACTGACCACAAGTACGAGGAGCATTCTTCCCACCGAACACAAGTATGAGGAGCATTCTTCCCACCGACCACAAGCATGAGGAGCATTCTTCCCACTGACCACAAGTACAAGGAGCATTCTTCCCACTGACCACAAGTACGAGGAGCATTCTTCCCACTGACCACAAGTACGAGGTGCATTCTTCCCCACTGATCACAAGTACGAGGAGCATTCTTCCCTCTGACCACAAGTATGAGGAGCATTCTTCCCTCTGACCACAAGTATGAGGAGCATTCTTCCCTCTGACCACAAGTATGAGGAGCATTCTTCCCACTGACCATCACACTACTGTACCATGAGTTGTAGATATTGTCATTTTTTGTGGGGGTTTCCTGAGACCGGAAAGTTATTACAAGGGTTTATCTGTGTTGGAAAGTTTGCTTTGGACCCTTATATGGGTCCCTTCTTCAAGTATTATACAACTCATAAAGCCTAAGGTAGGGATCTAAAGAAGATCATAAAAGATTTCATTTTTAATAACTTAAAGTGATACTAAACCCACAACAGTAGAATCAGTCTGTAGATGCAGTAAAGCATGCTTGTTATACTCCCTGTGGAACCTAAGGGGTTAATCCTCTACAATGTGTAAAAATACTGTTTGATGCTATCTTCTCTGATCCTCCCCTTCTTCCAGTGTATAGAGACATCGGTCACACCATCATTAAAGGACGGGAGACAGAGACACCAGTAACGACATCACTATGGGGGAGAGGGGGGATATGGATATACCAGTAATACCATCAGGAAATATGAAGACACTGGTGACATCATTATTGCAGGATAGAATATAGAGACACCGATGACAATCAATACAGGGCAGGCTATAGACACACTGGTTACACCATTACTACAGGAGAGAATATAGAGACACTGGTGATGCCATCACTACAGGGGGAAATATGGAGACACCAGTGGCACCATCACTGCAGGACGAAGTATAGAGACATCGGTGACACCATCACTAAGAGAGGGGATATAGAGACACCGGTCACACCATCATTACAGGACAGGAGACAGAGACACCAGTGGCGACATCACTATGCGGGAGAGGGGGGATATGGATATACCAGTGATACCATTACTACAGGAGGGAATATAGAGACACCAGTGACACCATCGCTACAGGGGGATATAGAGAAATGGTGACAACATCACTAGGTACAACCCATGGCAACCAATCAGATCCCACATCAGTTCTGACAACCATCCATGTAAGTTTCAGCAAAGTTTTACAATACATTTTTAAATATATTTTTCATGTTAAGTATTGTTGGAATGCAACTTTCCAGGTATTTATTACATCTCCAATATCACAGTATGAGAATGACTTCATCTGCTTGTCTCTCCAGAAGGATGGAGCCATTTTTGTTCAGGCATCATCCAGGGTCACCATCTACTTCCTGGACTGGAGTGCTGGATCAGAGATGACACAATCCTGGTACCTGTGCAGTTCTTTTGTTCACAATTATCTGTCACAGATCAGCACCTCTTGCCACCTCTTACCTTACTACAAAGTTACAGTGGTGCAGTGTGATCACTGGGGGAGACTGAGAAAATGCTTCCTCCTGCCTGCAGCAGACTGATGGCATCATGTCATCCCAGGAAAAGTCACTGAAATTCAGCTGAGTAGCTTTTACTGAAAAGCCAACCCTAATAACTTTAGCCAATCCTATGTGATCCTCACCCTGCCAGCCCCCCAACATTCCAGGTATGTACACCACTCTATATTATACCAAATCCCTACATATATCTATATTACACACATTCTGGGTGCACTGATTTCTATGGGAAGGATAGACACCCCACCCACCTCTGGCTGTGCTCTGCTGCAATCCTGCTTCTCCCACATGGCAATCTTTTCCTCTTGGGTCAGATCCAGCCAGGCGATCAACATCTTTCTCCACAGATTGGCCTTGTAGCACCGCTGGGCCCTCTCCTCCTGGACAGACAGGTAGTCCTTGTACTGGAAGACAATAAAGTCTTATTAAGGAGAATGTAGAATACAGGGATGGATTTTGGGTGACAGTATACCCATCAAGAGTTTATACTCAGAGGCTGCCCCTCACTGACAGCCCTTCCTCTGGCTGCCAGTAACACGGAGCATTCAGTTCAATCTCTAAAGGTGACACAGGGGCCAGCTTTGCATGCGCAGTATGGCCCTCGCGCCATTTTATTATACACCGCTCAAAAAATTTAAAGAAAGACTTTGTAATAAGAGTCTAAAATCAAGTCAAAGAAACTCCTGGGATATTCATCTGGTCAGGTAAGTCACAGAGGGGGTTGTTAATCAGTTTCAGCTGCACTAGATGGGCAACAATGAGATGACCCCCAAAACAGGAATGGTTTTACAGGTGGAGGCCACTGACATATTTTTCCCTACTCATCTTTTCTGACTGTTTTTCACTTGTTTTGCATTTAGCTAGGGTCAGTGTCAGGCCATACCTGGACCCTACAGAGATTGCACAGGCAATCCAACTCCTCCAGGATTGCAAATCAATATGTGCCATTGCCAGAAGGTTTGTCAGGGCTTCAGGGTGTGACCAGAGGTATGTGACTGACGCAGGGAAACGCAGGCTTCAGATAAGTTATAAACAATATAATTTATTAAAGACTAACAATACAAACATAAACGCAGTGCAATACTAAAACATAACAGTGCAAACGAACCAAACCAAACCACCCACAGATAACAGTACATATAATGCAAGCGTCGTCAGGCAGGCCGGGTCAATAACAATCGGGCAGGTAGGTACAGGGGGTCAGGCAGAGAATGGTCGGGGTCACAAGCCAGGGATAAAACAGGAGAAGTCAGCAGAGGTCCGGATCAGGCAGGGTCAGCAACGAATCAGACATAGACAGGGACAGGAACAGGAACATGGATGCAGGAACAAGATAAAGGGCCCAGGAAAAAACACACACCAAGGCAGAGACTGCAGGTCTGGCCATCCCTTAAATACACCTGCATGATCAACTTCAGGTGTTTGGCTGGCTGCAGGGTTGAGTCTCTGATTACCGGGAGCACCCGCTGGCCAGCCCTGGTACTGCAGCCCACAAGGCAGGTGGGTCCCACCATTACTAGCAAGTCCATTCCTGACAGTACCCCCCCCAAGGAGCGGCCTCAGGACGCTCCAAACAGTCCTAGCTGGGCAAAAAATGTTCCACCGCCCGGGTCTGGTAACTGGCGGGATATCAAAGACTGGCACATCGGGCAGGACTCTGGGCAGCGGCACACCGGGCAGCGGCACATCGGGCAGGACTCCGGGCAACGGCACATCGGGCAGGACTCCGGGCAACGGCACATCGGGCAGGACTCCGGGCAACGGCACATCGGGCAGGACTCCGGGCAACGGCACATCGGGCAGGACTCCGGGCAACGGCACATCGGGCAGGACTCCGGGCAACGGCACATCGGGCAGGACTCCGGGCAGGACTCCTACCAGAGGCACATCGAGCTGGACACCGGATCACCAGGTGGAGCAGCGGGCGCCGGGCCCCCCCCAGGCGGGTCGGCGGGCGCCGGGCCCCCAGGCGGGGTCGGCGGGGCGCCGGGCCCCCAGGCGGGGCGGCGGGCGCCGGGCCCCCAGGTGGGGCGGCGGGCGCCGGGCCCTCAGGCGGGGTGGCGGGCGCCGGGCCCCCAGGAGGGGCGGCAGACACCGGGCCCCCAGGCGGGGGCGGCGGCACCGGGTCATCAGGCACGACAACGGGCATCGGGTCACCAGGCATCAGGTCATTTGGCTCGCCAGTGGGCACCGCGTCATCTGGCAAGGCACCAAGTCACCAGGCACGACAGTGGGCTCCGAGTCAACTGGCATGACCGCGGGCACTGGGTCAGACATTGGATCGTCTGGCTGGACAGCGGGCATCGGGTCACCAGGCATCAGGTCATTTGGCTCGACAGCGGGAACCGCGTCATCTGGCAAGGCAGTGAGCACCGAGTCACCAGGCACGACAGTGGGCTCTGAGTCAATTGGCACGACAGCGGGCACCGGGTCATCAGGTACCGGATCGTCTGGCTCGACAGCGGGCATGGGGTCACCAGGCATGACCGCGGGCACTGGGTCATCAGGCATTGGATTGTCTGGCTCGACAGCGGGCATCGGGTCACCAGGCATGACAGCGGGCACTGGGTCATCAGGCATTGGATTGTCTGGCTCGACAGCGGGCATCGGGTCACCAGGTATGACAGTGGGCTCCGAGTCACCAGGCATGACCGTGGGCACTGGGTCAGACATTGGATCGTCTGGCTCGACAGTGGGCATCGGGTCACCAGGCATCAGGTCATTTGGCTCGACAGCGGGCACCGCGTCATCTGGCGCTGGATCGTCTGGCTCGACAGCGGGCATCGGGTCACCAGGCATGACAGCAGGCACTGGGTCATCAGTTACCGGATCGACAGCGGGCACCGGGTCATCTGGCGCTGGATTGTCTGGCTCCACAGCGGGCATCGGGTCACCAGGCATGACAGCGAGCACTGGGTCATCAGGCATTGGATCGTCTGGCTTGACAGCGGGCATCGGGTCACCAGGTATGACCGCGGGCACTGGGTCATCAGGCATTGGATCGTCTGGCACGACAATGGGCATCGGGTCACCAGGCATGACAGTGGGTAGAGATGAGCGAATTATTCAAAAATTCGTTTTGGCTGATTCGCCGAATTTGCGGGAGAAATTCGATTCGATTCGATTGCGAATTTATTTGCCGCAAATTTAACTTATTAAAAGGGTTTCTAGGCTTCAGAGAGCCTTTATATTAGTGCAGAACACTGTACCTTTAATTTAAATGTCCTTGGAGTCTGCTGGGGAAGAGAAATAATACTGTCAGTCAGTATGACATGCAGATGAGTGCCGTCGATCTTAGAATCACCGCACACTTCACTCATTTGGGCAGTCACGGGGCACGACGAAGAAGAAAAAGAAGAAGAAGAAGAAGAAGAATGAAAAGAAGAAGAAGAAGAATGAAAAGAAGAAGCAGAAGAAGAAGAAGAATGAAAAAAGAAGAAGAAGAATGAAAAGAAGAATGAAAAGAAGAAGAAGAAGAAGAATGAAGAAGAAGAAGAAGGAAAAGAAGAAGGAAAAGAAGAATGAGAAGAATGAAAAGAAGAATGAAAAGAAGAATGAGGAGAAGAATGAGGAGAAGAATGAGAAGAAGAATGAGAAGAAGAATGAAAAGAAGAATGAGAAGAAGAATGAAAAGAAGAATGAGAAGAATGAAAAGAAGAAGAAGAAGAAGGAAAAGAAGAATGAAAAGAAGAATGAAAAGGAAAAGAAGAATGAAAAGAAGAAGAAGAATGAAAAGAAGAAGAAGAAGAATGAAAAGAAGAAAAATGGGGAAGAAGAATGAAAAGTAGAAGGAAAAGAAGAAGGAAAAGAAGAAGGAAAAGAAGAATGAAAAGAAGAATGAAAAGAAGAAGAAGAAGAAGGAAAAGAAGAAGAAGAAGAAGAAGGAAAAGAAGAAGAAGAAGAAGAATGAAAAGAAGAAGAAGAAGAAGGAAAAGAAGAAAAGAAAAGAAGAAGAAGAAGAAGGAAAAGAAGAAGAAGAATGAAAAGAAGAAGAAGAAGAATGAAAAGAAGAATGAAAAGAAGAAGGAAAAGAAGAATGAAAAGAAGAAGGAAAAGAAGAATGAAAAGAAGAAGAAGAAGAATGAAAAGAAGAAGAAGAATGAAAAGAAGAAGAAGAAGAAGAATGAAAAGAAGAAGAAGAAGAATGAGAAGAAGAATTAAAAGAAGAATGAAAAGAAGAATTAAAAGAAGAATGAGAAGAATGAAAAGAAGAGGAATGAAAAGAAGAAGAAGAATGAAAAGAAGAATGAAAAGAAGAAGAAGAAGAAGAAAGAAGAAGAAGAATGAAAAGAAGAAGAAGAAGAATGAAAAGAAGAATGAAGAAGAAGAAGAATGAAAAGTAGAAGAAGAAGAATGAAAAGAAGAAGAAGAATGAAAAGAAGAAGAAGAATGAAAAGAAGAAAAAGAAGAAGAAGAATGGGAAAAGAAGAAGGAAAAGAAGAATGAAAAGAAGAAGGAAAAGAAGAATGAAAAGAAGAAGGAAAAAAGAAGAATGAAAAGAAGAAGAAGAAGAAGAAGAAGAAGAAGAAGAAGAAGAAGAAGAAGAAGGAAAAGAAGAAGAAGGAAAAGAAGAAGAAGAAGAATGAAAAGAAGAAGAAGAAGAATGAAAAGAAGAAGAAGAAGAATGAAAAGAAGAATGAAAAGAAGAAGGAAAAGAAGAAGGAAAAATGAAAAGAAGAAGAATGAAAAGAAGAAGAAGAATGAAAAGAAGAAGAAGAAGAATGAAAAGAAGAATGAGAAGAAGAATGAAAAGAAGAATTAAAAGAAGAATGAGAAGAATGAAAAGAAGAAGAATGAAAAGAAGAAGAAGAAGAATGAAAAGAAGAATGAAAAGAAGAAGAAGAAGAATGAAAAGAAGAAGAAGAATGAAAAGAAGAATGAAAAGAAGAAGAAGAATGAAAAGAAGAAGAAGAATGAAAAGAAGAATGAAAAGAAGAAGAAGAATGAAAAGAAGAAGAAGAAGAATGAAAAGAAGAATGAAAAGAAGAAGAATGAAAAGAAGAAGAAGAAGAATGAAAAGAAGAAGAAGAAGAATGAAAGAAGAATGAAAAGAAGAAGAGAAGAATGAAAAGAAGAAGAAGAAGAATGAAAAGAAGAATGAAAAAGAAGAAGAAGAAGAAGAAGAATGAAAAGAAGAAGAAGAATGAAGAGAAGAAGAATTCCAGTACAGCAAAAAGTGTATCTGCAGAGAGCTCCGCTATTTCTGACAGTTCTCTGACAGTTCCTTCACATTTACAGCGGTTGAAACATTGTATCTATTTATTTCCGAATAAAAACATCTGTATCCTAAATGGAAACAAATAGATACAATGTTTCAACCGCTGTAAATGAACTGTCAGAACTGTCAGAGAACTGTCAGAAATAGCGGAGCTCTCTGCAGTGACACTTTTGCCGGCTGATCGGGGAAAATTCGATTCGTGCATCCGAAGTTTGCTAAAATTCGGATTCGATGCGAATCGAATTTTTCCTAATATTCGAAATGAATTCCACTTCGCCAAGTTTGATTCGCTCATCTCTAACAGTGGGCACCAGGTCATCAGGTACCGGATCGTCTGGCTCGACAGCGGGCACTGGGTCATCAGGCGTGATAGGATAATCAGGCTGGATCAGTTCATCAGGCTGGGTACAGACATCAGGCTGGGTACAGACATCAGGCTGAAGTGCGGGTGCCGAGGCACCAGGCTGAACCACGGAAGGCATGTTCTCAGACGGCAGGCTCACCGGTTTGGATACTGGCAGGATGGTACTGGTTGGAAAGAATTTCCGCTTTTTTCTGGTTTTAACTACTGGGGCACTGCAAGTAAACGCAGGTCTGCAAACGAATGGAGCAGCTGAGGACAGAGAAGAGCTGGAAGAGGGAACAGAGGAGGGAGCAGTTGCTACAGAGGACTTCTTTACAGGGTTAAAGAAAGGATAGGTGCAGCGAGTGGGAGCAGAGGACTGGTATGTGGTAGTTAGAGTATACTGGGCAGTCACTGGGGGTGCTGTCGGGGATGCAGGAAGAGTGCCTTGAGCGGAGGAATGATGTTGTAAGCTGACTGAGGCTGGGTGCAACAAGTCTGACCATGTCTGCGGTATGGGTTGAACAAAGCTCAGTTTACACAAAGCCTGTCTGGTCAATGACTGCACTGCGTTTATACAATCTCTTAGTATCTGTGGTGAACATGCAGAATTACGCTCCAGAAAGTAATCCACATCATCCTCTAATAACCATACCAGGGACTCTACCTGGTCGGCACTAAATGGCGGCAAAAATTCATCCCTGCATTCGGGGGTACCAGATGAAACCAACTCAGCACAAACCTGAATCAATGGCTGCACCTCAGAATTCTGTGCCCTGATCTACTAGAACATGAGCGATCCGTATACATTCTAGCAGTTTATCCCTGGGATACTCCTTCAGAGTTTGATAAGCATACTCTCTGTCATCAAACACTAGCAGAGATAAATACACAACCTCATCAAGATCCATCCTTCCCAGCAACAAGCCAAGATGGCTTCCCTGTGCAGCCACTTCTGGTCAGGATTGGCCTTGGTGTAATGTCAGGGCTCCGGGGTGTGTGACCAGAGGTGTGTGACTGACGCAGGGAAACGCAGGCTTCAGATAAGTTGTAAAAAATATAATTTATTAAAGACTAACAATACAAACATAAACACAGTGCAATACTAAAACATAACACAGTGCAAACGAACCAAACCAAACCATCCACAGATAACAGTACATACAATGCAAGCGTCGTCAGGCAGGCCGGGTCAATAACAATTGGGCAGGTAGGTACAGGGGGTCAGGCAGAGAATGGTCAGGGTCCCAAGCCAGGGATAAAACAGGAGAAGTCAGCAGAAGTCAGGATCAGGCAGAGTCAGCAACGAATCAGACAGGAACAGGGATGCAGGGCCCAGGAAAAACACACACCAAGGCAGAGACTGCAGGTCTGGCCATCCCTTAAATACACCTGCATGATCAACTACAGGTGTTTGGCTGGCTGCAGGGTTGAGTCTCTGATTGCCGGGAGCACCCGCTGGCCAGCCCTGGTACTGCAGCCCACAAGGCAGGTGGGTCCCACCATTACTGGCAAGTCCATTCCTGACAAGGTTCCTCTAGGAGAGCTGGACAGGGCCGTAGAAGGTTGTTAACCCATCAGCAGGACTGATATCTGCTCCTTTGTGCAAGGAGGAACAGGATGAGCACTGCCAGAGCCCTACAAAATGACCTCCAGCAGGCCACTGGTGTGAATTTCTCTGACCAAACTATCAGAAACAGACTTCATGAGGGTAGCCTGAGGGCCCAATGTCCTCTAGTGGGCCCTGTGCTCACTGCCAGGCACCAAAGAGCTGGATTGACATTTGCCATTGAACACCAGAATTGGCAGGTCCACCACTGGCGCTCTGTGCTTTTCACAGATGAGAGCAGGTTCCCCCTGAGCACATGTGACAGACGTGAAAGGGTCTGGAGAAGCCATGGAGGACGTTCTGCTGCCTGCGACATTGTTCAGCATGACCGTTTTGGTGGTGGGTCAGTGATGGTCTGGGGAGGCATATCCATGGAGGGACGCACAGACCTCTACAGGCTAGACAATGGCACCCTGACTGCCATTAGGTATCGGGATGAAATCCTTGGACCCATTGTCAGACCCTACACTGGTGCAGTGGGTCCTGGGTTCCTCCTGGTGCACGACAATGCCGGGCCTCATGTGGCGAGAGTATGCAGGCCATTCCTGGAGGATGAAGGAATTGATACCATTGAATGACCCCCACCACTGGCCTGACCTAAATCCAATAGAACGCTTCTGGGATGTCATGTTTCGGTCCATCTGATGTCGCCAGGTTGCACCTCAGACTGTCCAGGAGCCCAGTGATGCCCTGGTCCAGATCTGGGAGGAAATCCCCCAGGACACCATCCATCGTCTCATTAGGAGCAAGCCCCGATGTTGTCAGGCATACATACAAGCAAGTGGGGGCCATACAAACTACTGAGGACCATTCTGAGTTGCTGCAATGACATTTCAACCAAATGGACTCGGCCTGCTGCATAATTTTTTACTTCGAAATTCGGGGTGTCTTTGAATTCAGTCCTCTGAAGGTTGATAATTTCATTTCCATCAAACGATGGGGCATCCTTACATTCCTAACACATCACCCAGTCCATGGCAGTATAGATATCCAGCAGATTTCCCCATTCAGATCTAATGGGTTTTCAAGGTGTGCCTTTCATTTTTTTGAGCTGTGCAAGTTTCTCCCCTGAACAGGTTTGACCTAAGCAGGTCATTGAAAACTTCTAGACATGCAATCGTTCTCCAATCCAACCATAAAGAGATTATGGAATGGTCTCCAATGTTCTGCACTACTGGACAAGACACACAGGGGGGAGATTTACTATTATTATTATACATTATTTATATAGCGCCAAAAGGTTTGCTCAGCGCTGTACATTATAGTGGGGGACAGCACATGAGACAATACAGTAACAAGACAAAACACGAGGGGTTCGAGGGCCCTGCTCTTTCGAGCTTACAATCTAGGAGGGAGGGGATAGTGGTACAGGCGGAAGTGGCTGTGGGGGATGGAGTGGTAGGAGGAGTGTAGATCGGCTGTTAGGTCAGGGTGGGGTAGGCTTCCCGAAAGAGGTGGGTTTTCAGGGTGCGCCTGAAGGTGAAGAGGGTAGGTGACACTCTCATGGATTGGGGTAGAGAGTTCCAGAGGATGGGGGAAGCCCTGGAGAAGTCCTGCAGTCGAGCGTGGGAGGAGGAGACCAGGGGGCTAGAAAGTAGGAGGTCTTGTGAGGAGCGAAGAGTACAGGTTGGGTGGTATTTGGGTATCAGGACGGTGAGGTAGTTTGGGGCAGCGTTATGAATGGCTTTGTATGTCATTGTTAGTAGTTTGAATTTAATGCGTTGGGCAATCGGGAGCCAGTGGAGGGAATGACAGAGGGGGGTGGCAGAAGTGAAGCGGTTGTTAAGGTGGATGAGTCTGGCCGCTGAGTTCAGGATAGACTGAAGTGGGGATAGCCTGTGTTGGGGTAGGCCGGTGAGAAGGGAGTTGCAGTAGTCCAGGCATGAGATAATAAGGGAGTGAACAAGTTGTTTAGTAGTGTCTGGGGTTAGGAACGTACGTATTTTGGAGATGTTGCGGAGATGGAGCCTGCATGAGTTTGCCAATGATTGGACATGGGGTTGGAAGGACAGGCTTGAGTCAAGAGTGACACCTAGGACTTTGGCTTGAGGGGTAGGACTGATGGTGGCGTTGTTGGTCGTGATGGAGAGGGGGGGGCATGGGCTGGGGGGAAAATTAGGAGCTCGGGTTTGGAAAGGTTCAATTTGAGGAAATGGAGCGACATCCAGTCTGATATGTCATTCAGTAGGTGGGTGATACGGGCGGAGACTGAGGGGGTGAGGGGTGGAGAGGCAAATTTGCGTGTCAGCGGTGTAGAGGTGGTAGTTGAAGCCGTGGGAGTGTATCAGTTTGCCGAGGGAGGAGGTGTAGATGGAGAAGAGAAGGGGCCCAAGGACAGAGCCTTGGGGGACCCCAACAGAGAGGGGGAGAGAGGGGGAGGTGGTGGCATTATTAGTAATGCTGAAGAAGCGTTGGGATAGATAGGAGGAGAGCCAGGAGAGAGCGGAGTCTCTGATGCCGAGGGAGTGTAGTTTATTAAGGAGGAGGGGGTGGTCAACTGTGTCGAAGGCCGCAGAGAGGTCAAGGAGTAAGAGGACTGAGTAGTGGCCATTAGCTTTGGCGGTTAGCAGGTCATTAGTGATTTTGAGTAGGGCGGTTTCGGTGGAGTGTAGGGGACGGAAGCCAGATTGTAGGGGATCGAGGAGGTTATTGTCAGTGGGTGTGAGCGCTTAGACGATTGTAGACTAAGCGCTCAAGGAGCTTGGAAGTAAATGGCAGTAGGGAGATGGGTCTAAGGTTGTTCAGGTCGGTGGGGTCCAGGGAGGGTTTTTCGAGTATGGAGGTGATGTGCGTGTGCCTTAGGGGGGAGGGGAATGCGCCAGTAGAGAGGGAGAGATTGAAGATGTGGGTGAGGGAGCGTAGGATGAAGGAGGAGGATGACCGGAGTAGTTGTGTGGGGACAGGGTCAAGGGGGCAAGTGGTGAGGCGGGCTACTGAGAAGACCTTAGTGACCTCCTCAGTGGTAGCAGTGCTGAAGGAGCGGAGTGTTGGGGAGGATAAGGTGTGTGGGATGTTAGGTGTGGTGGGGGGCAGGGCGGTTGTGAGGTCAGAGGAGGGGAGAGTTGATGGGGTTATAGTGGGAGGGAGGCTAGGTGGGGAGGTAGATTGAGCATTGGCAATGTCCTTACGGTTTGCATCGATCTTATTTTGGAAGTGAGTGGCAATCTCGTCGGCGTTGAGTGAGGTACTGAATGGGGGTGTGGGGGGGGAGAGAGTAGGGAGTTGAAAGTGGAGAAGAGCCGGCGAGGACAGGTGGAGAGGGTGTTGATGAGGGTAACGAAGTAGGCTTGTTTGGCGGCGTGGAGGGAGGAGGTGTAGGTGAGGAAGGCGGATTTGTAGAGGGAGAAAGCTTGAGGGGATCTGGTTTTACGCCATAATCGCTCCAGCGCACGACTGTGTCGTTTAAGATTTTTAGTGTGGTCGTTCTGCCAGGGTTGAAGCGGTCTGGGGGTCTAATGCTACATGTGGTCAGGGGTCTAGG